CCATCCGAACATGGTGACAAACATGGCTACATCGGTGGTCTTGTGGTGAATGTTGCAGAGGTTGATCCCTGAGTCTAGCACCTGGATTACCGGTTTGCCTGCATATTCCTCCTGCACTGCTGTGTGGCAGACCACCTCATTCACTGTCTCGGGGTCCAGCCGAAGGTCCCTGAGGACCTCCTGCAGTGTGCACTCACAGTGCCACGGGTTGTTCGAGAGACTGATTTTTGCTCGAAGACGGGCAAACGTCTCTTTGGGTACATTTTGGATAGCATTGTGTGATAGATCCAGGACAAGGAGGGTGTCAGAAACTCCTTGAAATGCTCCAATATCCACATTCTCAATGTTATTGTTCGACAGGTCCACCTCTTGAAGGTAATGCAGGTCTTTGAAGACGTGGCTGGGGATGTGGGTAATATGGTTGGATGACAAAAGTAGGACAACCGTATCTTGTGGAAGATCTGATGGGATCTTCTCCAAGTTGCGAGACATACACTGGACCACCACCAGGCCACTCTTCTCTATACAGTGACAACTTGTGGGACAAGCCAACACTGTGGCACTTACAATAAATACTCCAAAGAGCAACGCCCATAGGAGGGCGAAACCATCAAAGACAGGGGATTTCCTGGTCATATCAGACCCGACTAAGTCCTGCATATTCAGCAGTGAGCTCCCACGAGTCCTGTCAGGCAAGAGCAATCATCATTTCACCTCTTTCTTGATATGAAATGATGGTAACTGCGGTGTCATTCGCCTTCAAAATGCCAAAATTACCAGTCTATTCACACAAACACAAGAGCATGGGATAATCCTTCAAAAGTGATCTGATAGAGTTTTATATGATCCTTTGAAAAAGACGTCCAAACAGCGCATCCAGATGCTGAGGTGCTCACTGAGCATTTTCTATCAGAAAACTGTAATCTCAGGTTTGTTGTGAGCCGACTGAAAGCCTCAGAGCTAGGGGCGAGCCAAGCAACGCTGGAATCAACATGTCATAATGGGCACTGAAAGAATCAAAGAAAATAGTGTTATTTTGTTATATTAGTTTTTCACTGCAGCAACAAATGCCAGTAGCTGCTGGCAATTGATGTGAAGAATCAATCTCAGCCAAACAATGACTTTTACTTAGCCACTTTCTAAGTGCACAAACAGTTGCCTTTGTCTTCAGTCTGGGAAAACATCATTTTGTTCTGCACTGTCTACTATAAATTGTTATGCCACATTATTCTCTGATGTTCAAGCATTATGGTTAGCACACATCAATAATTTCTTAATTTCATAGTTGGAGAAA